GATAAATCCGCGACAATCTTAAATATTTCCTGAACTTACGACATTTTTTTTGTCGACTGCAATTATCTGTAGACAGACCGCAATTACACACTCTCTGTAAATCTGAGCATGGGTTGGAAAGGAGCCCCGGGGTCTAAAACTGTTTATTTTTCACAAATGTATTTGAGGTTTCTATCATGATATATATACATCGTTGTTTGACTATACAAACTACTTTTGGGTTGGGTTTGTCACTGAGACTAAAATGAAAGTTTGAGCGTCCATTACATCACAGTTGGTGTATAATCAGTTCACTGAACACGTTAGACAATGGTCATACAGAGTTTTAACTTAATACTTTAATACATTGGGGCATTAGTTTCAGACCCTTAAGAATCATATCTCATTTAAACGGTAATGACATTTTGATGAGAAAAAAATGATGTTGATGTGTGCACCTTTTCTAAATGGTTAGATTCATGTTTTTTCATTATTTGTATTTTTTTCTCAAGTGAGCCATATTTTTGGTAAACTTCTTTTTGTAACTCAACTTATATAAATTTTAATCGAGTAGGCCTATATTTTTCATCTCTCGGTCTACAACTCGCTCGTTAATAAAAATCAGAAATGAGTCGTCAATTTAGATTTCACCACTCTTCCAATATAAGACCTGTGCATGTTTTGACTTTCGTAGCCAAACAATTTCAAGAAGGCGTGGCCTATTATTCAGTGTCGATTTTCACAACTGACCGACGACAACAAAACACTGGCATCCGAGGATGGATTGGTTAGCTATTTAATCGTATCTGGGACGGATGTTTGACCTATAAAAAAGTGTATAAAGAAATAATATACCAATTTGCCAATAAAATATGTATTTTGAAAGCGTGACATTTCACAACAATCGAAATTATCCGGTTGCGAGGTCACGCAAGTCAATAGTTGGACGACTCGACAAAATGACCGTCCCGAAATACAAAACATTCCGGAACAGATGTTGAGACGATACATGCAAATTGTGCCTTAAACATGACATACAGTACAATTTACAACATCAACAAAGAAACGAACACTATAAATTGCAAATCTTCCTTTTCAAACACTGGCTTACACCTCACTGTTGTTGTTCTCTAGTTACCTTACTAATGAGGTGTTGCGGACAATGAGCTCTGCAACTTAAATATGTTTCCGTATTTGTACGTCATATATTCTAAGTTGGGCTATGACATAACGAAGGGAGGGCACTCTATAGTCGCGATGCCTCGCTAGAGCAAGTTTGAAAGCCACTAGCTAATGGCTGTACGCAAAAACAAACAAACACAGTCCTCATATTGTTTGGGCCTTGATTCTAAGTTTTTGGTTTTGGAAAGTGATTAGCTGTTCATGTGGAATTGCTGGTAGCTGCCCTTCTACTGTTTGCATGTAACCCTGTAAAAAAATAGCTGCAGTATACCAATCGGTTAGCGAGAACTTCTCTTTAGCTCGATTGGTTGAGTGTCAAACTAGTAAGCCAGGGTCCCGGGTTCGATTCCTAACGGAGACATTGAAATAAATAATGACCTCTGTTACATTCATCTAAAACATTAGACGTCGGTGTAGTCTTCTTGTCTGAAGTGTAGGAAGATTAAGTTCTTGTAACATTTTGGCCATGCTTCCCGCCTCTCAAGATTTGTAGTCTTTCGTTATGAATCTTGCACCTCGTCTTTGTATGCTTTCTAATTTTACTGACTGTGTTTGGGTACCAGATGATTGCGACATATTCCACGATTGATCTGACATGTGCTATATATGCTGTTCTTCCGCATTCGTTTGGAATCCAACTGTGGAGCCGGCCTTTCTACAGGTGTTGTTGATTTGCTCTCCTTTCCATTTAAGATCTTCTGCGATTTGGATGCTTAGGTATGGATTAGATGGCACTCAGGATGTGATCGTTCAACTTGTAGAAACGCTTGCTTTTGTTTCGTATACTAAGTATATATCATTTGTTTTTGCGTTGAATCACAACTTGCACACGTTTCTAGATGGTCTTGTTTGTTCTTTACCACCCTGTATAATCAGCGATCATCCGCAAAGAGCCTTACGGAGGACTTAACTGCTTCCGGCAGGTCCTTTCCGTTCATAGGAAGAGGATGGGTCATAGTACCGTACCTTGAGGTACTCCGGAGTCCACAATCACTTCCATACTGGTAGTTTAGTTTTATATTTATATCAGTGATTACTAGAGTATGGTCGGAGATTCTTGGGATGTTGGTAGATGTTTTAGCTAGAGCAGGGTTAGTGATAAAGATTAGGTCTAGCGGGTTATTTTCTCTAGTTGGGTTCTCATGCAATAGTGTTAGGCCTAAGTGATCCCCAGTTTATGTGTTAATTTGTATTCGATACTATCTGTGCATTTACGTGTATGTCCTTATTTGGTGTGTTACCTGTTAGGTATTGTCAGTGTCTGTCCTTATATGGTGTTGTCTTGGTAAGTCGTGCAAGAGTGAGTGTGTAGAGTAACAAATCTAGGGATAGCTCTGGGTGCGGAGCAGAACTACAGAATAGCCACCTCGCTCTGGACGTCCTCCGGATTCCAGGCACCACATATAGCGACAGGTATACATTACTGACACGACCCGACGGTTGGTGACGTGAGGTGCATTAGTGGAAACCAGCAAGCAAATATATATGTGCATGTCATTGCTGTACCACGGGTACAAATAAAAGAATTTTAAACACACAACGAATCCAGTTTTATTTGAAGGTGTGACATTTGGGTAGTTGAAGTCACCGACCTGATTAATGTTACTGCTGTCTTCTTCCGCGATACGGTTTATGGATTTTTGTTATTTCCTCAATGTTCATGGTGCTCCTGTGCGCCATGTAGAATTCACCAACTAATAGACCTTTGGTGTGTTAGAAAAACGAATTGCAGTTGTTCAGTTGCTATGATTTTATTTCTTGTTTCTTCTTTGTCATGCAACTTTATATTGGTTGTTTTTAATGATCTCATTCGATGAAATCCGTTATTTTTTAGTTTGCCAGTTTTTCTCAATACACATACACAGTAAACAACGAAAACTGAAACTAAGTAGTCCTATATTGTCCTAAGTTAATGGTTATTTATGGTACTATTGTGAAAAAAGGAACCAAAACCTGCGTTGTAATAATGAAAACTTTCATATTTTAGTTCTTCCTATCAGTACACTAAGAACAGTAACTGTAGTTTTCATGTAGTCTTCTCAATGGATTGTAAACAGACACACTCATAAATTGCACATTTAAATACAAATTTACTGACAGATGCATCTAGCAGCTGTTTCAACGTCTTAGGCTTTCTGTAATGCTAGGGGCAAAAAGCATAGAAATGTAGAAGGTAATATTAAAATATTAATCGTTTCGACTGGTGATATGTAAATTAGGTAGGTAGGTCAGTGGACCTTGTACTGTTCACACCACAGGGGCTTGCGACCCGAGATATGGTCTTAACTACATAAAGTAGTCTTAGTATTGATAAATATGACTAAAGTATACAGGTTTCATGTGTACAGAACCTGTGAATCGCACTCTCATGTCGGGTGATGCTTCATTTCGATATATCATAGTCTGTGATTTGGGTCATCTGGTTGTAGATTTTTACGTTATCTGATGTTTATCGCCGTGATGAAGGTCAGAATTAGATAAAATGTATCGTATGTCTTTGTAATACAATAACATCAACAGAACACTTCTAAAGGATTGTTTCTTCTCTACATTCAGGTGGTATTCATGTTTAAAAATCTTTTTCAATTTTGCTTTTATCTTTCATTTGACACGATTTGTCCGGTTGTTACGATGTCTACATCCACGTAACATGTTAGCATTGACTAAACTTACATCGATGGTGACCTGCACAAGAAAAAAGGGCTGGTGACATACACGGTGTAAAAAATGAATGGATATCTGTTTTAAGAGTAAGAAGGAGAAATCTTGACCCAAGGATAATATATCTCAGGGTATATTAACATGACCAGATATGTCGTGCTTGTTACCCTCGTCGTGCACTTATAACCGGTGTTAGTTGTACACCCAATAAACTGCAGCATTAGTTTGCTAAGTACAATTAGCAAAGAACATGGCCACTACGGCACAAATTTAACATCTAAACCATAGCAGGTTGTCAACATAGTTCACCACTTTAGTGTGTATTGTCACTAGTTTTTTATGATACGTTTTTATTCTGAATACTCTTTGATTTACTACATTAACTAGCACAATGTGTAATGTCTCGGGTTTGAAAAACCATTTTGAAATACAATCATTACAGATGCAGACAGGATAAAGTTCCTTTAATCAAACCTGCTGGTTGATGTGCATTCAGACTTCACCACTTGTTATCTGAGGTAAGCCATCATCTTCCAATATTTCGGTTCCTGAAAATTATTTACTTACTTTGTAATACACTTTCATTATCATTATCATCAAAGATATGAAAATATTATATATTTTTGTGGTATAATATTATTGATAACATGATAATTAGATACAATTTAATACATACAGCATATATATTATAATCATAGAATTATCTATAACATCGACAATGTCGTTGATGAAGTTTTACGATCGTCATTGAGATCTCATAGACAACATTTTTTTCTTGAGATATGAAGCTGGACATTCGTTTGCCTGTTGGTTCCGTTGTTGTATACCTTGTTCTCATTTACGAACCAGTCATTACTTATTTGGTTTGATAGAGATTTACATGACAGTTGTCGACGATGAAGCAGAAGACGCTTACTCCTTCAGAACGCATGACCTTATTTTTCCTTGTAATATTTCTGTGGTCTCCGTGTAAATTTTGCTATTGTTCTTATTTTGCATTCGTTTTATTGGATATGAGTTTGGATGATGGTTATGTTGACATGTGAAATTTTGATGTGTAAATGATTTGCTGTCAGTTCAATGTATCAGAAGATAACACAGCAAACTTCAAATAACTTGTATAAGTTTAGTTTGGTACAAAGATATCAACTGAAATGATTGTGGACATTGCAGAAACCATGGCACGGTTTATATATTCAGTTCTGCTCCTTTGCTTCGCGTCAGCAACAGCCGAGGAAGGTAAATGTACCCATTCAATTATACATCATTACACTTGATAAATTACACGACAATGAGAAAATTAGTTTTGAAGTGAAACTCATTTATTCTGATATTACTGATACTGGTTTGTTTAAACACGGAAGTGAGAGTTGATAAACAACCATAGCCTTAAGGTTGTAAAACTTGGATTCCATAATAATAATTTTTTAATTTCGAGATATTAAGTTCGAACAAAACTTTTTGTGTCTTTGGATTCTTTGAAAGCTGCAATGTATGGTTGGTTTTTCATCGAAGACATATACTCTAATATATTTTGTCCAAGTAATGTAACATCTACTAACAAACGTCCGTAGCTCGGTTTCAATCATTCATTGTACAAATCTTGATTATGAAAATCGTTGTCGTTCTTTAAGCATCATGAATAAGAGATGCAGCAAACCGCAATGACGTTAATTACCATAAGAAATGTAACCAATTCATGAAATTGTATTAGTAAAATAAGATTACGTTTAATGTTTCCTTCTTAAAGACAATGCTCCGTTTTCTTTTTGCATTTAAAAAAATTATATTCTTCTTGTGATACTAATTTGTAGAGGTGTTGTCCCGAGTGAAGAGGATCATTGGGGGATCGATCGCAACACGAGGCCAGTGGCCCTGGCTGGTCAGTCTCCACGGGAAGTTCATTTCAGAACGAATCCCTATTTTAGGAATACCTATAGCATTCCGGCATAAGTTCTGTGGTGGGTCCGTTCTAAACGATCGTTGGATACTTACAGCTGCGCATTGTTTTGACGGGTAAGAGCATTATATGTCGACAATATTACATTCCTTTATAATTGATACTAGTATAGGAAAAAGTTTGGAATTAGAATGTTTTACTGGTATTCCTTTGATGTACGTAATTATACAAAAGATACACATGTGAATAGCATCTATCACTACATTTAGAATAGATACTAAATAATAAATGAAACTAAATCATCAAGCTATTTCGTATCTCTAAAGCTCACAAAAGAAAAGAAAAAAAAGAAAAAGAAATGGAGAGGTACATTAACTCTCAAGATATGTCTTAATTTTTATGTATCTGAGAATTTCCAGAGATGACGAGTGCATGGAAGTCCAGTTGAACTGAAAAATAACCAAACCCTCATACTTATGACTACAGAATTTAACTTCTGATTGCAAACGTATCAATGCTCTGATGCTACCAATTTTGTCTCAATATCTGTAGCTTCTTCAACTGAATGAAAAAATGATAAACTACACGAAAAGGAGGAAGGAAAATATGGTGTTTTTAAAATTGAAGAATTCTGTCTAGCATAGATCTTCCTTCATAAGAGGATCATGTTATGGTGGTTATTCCTACCGAAAAATGTGGCTTTCTTGTTGTTCAGCTTTGTCATTTAGTACTCGTCAGTAATACTTCATCTTACAGTTGCTTTGTCATTTAGGCCTCGTCAGTGATACTACAGCATACAGTTGCTTTGTCATTTAGGCCTCGTCAGTGATACTACATCTTACAGCTGTTTTGTCATTTAGTACTCGTCAGTGATACTACATCTTACAGCTGTTTTGTCATTTAGGACTCGACAGTAATACTACATCTTACAGCTGTTTTGTCATTTAGGACTCGACAGTAATACTACATCTTACAGCTGTTTTGTCATTTAGTACTCGTCAGTAATACTACATCTTACAGTTGCTTTGTCATTTAGGACTCGTCAGTGATACTACATCTTATAGATGTTTTGTCTATTGGATTCGACAATGATACTACATCTTACATCTGTTTTGTCATTTAGGACTCAAAAGTAATACTACATCTTACAGTTGCTTTGTCATTTAGGACTCGTCAGTGATACTACATCCTACAGCTGTTTGTCCTTTTTTAAAAATTTGTTTATATGTTCCTTGTAGACCTGAAGGTCATATTTCAAACAGATGGGAGGCACGATTGGCAGCTACATCACTCAGGGTAGGTAAAAATTGAGGTTCAAATGTTGCATCTTTTATAAATATTGGTTAATAAATCGGGAACTGTATAGAAAATGGTGTGTATGTGTTTTCCTCATTGAAGGTATGGGTGTTTATCATATATACAAACGAAATATCTTAACTTCATTCACATCTTATGAATTATTTTGTAACTTATCTATCATATGACAACATGAATCAAATTAACGTTGGCATCGACCTTGTCAGCCATTTTACTTTTCAGAATTGCTTGTCATATAGTTCATAGTCAAAAGCATTTCAAAGTTAAGTTAGTAGTTTTCTTATCAATAAAAAACATTCGGCTTATTACGTGCATCTTTCTGCAATATTGTTTTGGCAGAAAAACTCAAACTTTTAATTTTGGGAGGTAAAATCTTAAGGCTCACTAATGCCAATTGAATGTCACAAGCAGTGTTTTATTTCAATGACTGATAAACAAAATAAATTCACAACATTTGGTAACTATATCCTTGATAAGGGTTTATAGATATTACAGCGACAAAATCGGAATATTCACCTTAAAATTTTATGAATTTCGTTATCATATTTGATGTGTCCCATTGCATTCATTTGATTTCAGAACAACTTTTTGGATACATTAAGGAATATTCTGTCCCATATAGTAGACAGGGAAGACTGGCGAACGTGGGAAATCGACATCGACAGGATTGTTATCCACCCCCGATATAACGCGTCAGGTTTGTCATGACACAGATGATCCAATATTTCCCAGATTGTTTTGCGGTTCCTTATTATCATGCAGCGGACTATGTTCCACTGCAATTGCCTAGCCTCCCAGTTTACAGGAAATTCCAGTAGTCAATTAGCGTCTAATTGTAAAATGTGATTGTTTATATACTGTAACCGTAAAATGGATTTACCTATGTTTATCTCCATGAAAATGATTTAACCGACAAATAATACATAGATAAAATATGTTGCTTCTGTATTTGATCATCCGTAGTGTGTTGCTGAAACCTGTTTTACAGCTCTTATGGTGAATAGTATTTTATATTTTGATTGGCTGATACCATGAACTTTGACCGAAAGTACTTCTTGCTCTTCGACATCATCATGTCTATTAATCACATAGACAATGAGGCACACGTTTAAACTCTTTCCGATTCTGTTTGAAGAACTAATTTGCGGTGGCACATCTTACACTAACAATATTGAAAACACAACTGCTGTCATTCTAACGTGAAATTGAATGACTGACGTTTGAACTTTGAATGAATAAACAAATTTGCGAGCAGAAGGCTTCATGTATCCCGAAATTAAAACGCACAAAAAGTAGTTAGCGATAGTTTTTGCGATAAGATTATTTTTATTTTAGTTTCTATCAATCCATTGCTTTGAGGTAATGATTATAATTCGTTATAAATCATGATATTGTTACACATTTCTGAAATTGTCAGTTTTGTAAATATAGATTAGCAGTATTTCACTATAGGTAATATTTTCGCGCCCCAATTATCATCGCAAACATAAGACACGTTGGTATAGAACCGGTTAATGCATCACGGGAATGTATATTTTACTGTAGTAGAAACATATGATGATCGCGGAGAGCGATCATGACCTTTGCCAAACTATGGTGCTACATTCTATTTCTTCGTGGAAAATGAAGCTGGTAGTGTTTGTTTTACTTCTTGAATCCGTTGTTGTATGCATTTTCTCATTTGAAATCTTGATTTACATGACGATTGTAGTCGATGAATCAAACCACGGTTATTCTTTTTTTTTCGGAACACCTCCGTCTCATTCTTTTTGTAAGTTTTCAGCAGTTTCCATATATATAAGTTTTTTGGCCGTAATTCGCCAAAGTTTTATTGTATATGATTTTAAAATAGGGTTATGTTCACATTTTCTTAATGTTACTGGTGTAAGAGGAGAGCGAATATTGTCTATCAAACTGTGGAGTACGAAAAGAGCGAATATAATATTTACCCAGCTCTGGTGTACGAGGAGAGTGAAAAAAGTATTTACCAAGCTCTGGTGTACGAGCAGAGCGAAAATAGTATTTACACAGCTGTAATGTACGAGCAGAGTGAAAATAGTATTTACCAAGCTCTGGTGTACGAGCAGAGCGAAAATAGTATTTACCAAGCTCTGGTGTACGAGGAGAGTGAATATAGTATTTACCAAGCTCTGGTGTACGAGGAGAGTGAAAATAGTATTTACCAAGCTCTGGTGTACGAGGAGAGCGAATATAGTATTTACCAAGCTCTGGTGTACGAGGAGAGTGAAAATAGTATTTACCAAGCTCTGGTGTACGAGGAGAGCGAAAATAGTATTTACCAAGCTCTGGTGTACGAGGAGAGTGAAAATAGTATTTACCAAGCTCTGGTGTACGAGGAGAGTGAAAATAGTATTTACCAAGCTCTGGTGTACGAGGAGAGTGAAAATAGTATTTACCAAGCTCTGGTGTACGAGGAGAGTGAAAATAGTATTTACAGAGCTGTAATGTACGAGGAGAGCGAATATAGTATTTACAGAGCTGTAATGTACGAGGAGAGCGAATATAGTATTTACAGAGCTCTGGTGTACGAGCAGAGCAAATAAAGTATTTACCAAGCTCTGGTGTACGAGGAGAGTGAAAATAGTATTTACAGAGCTGTAATGTACGAGGAGAGCGAATATAGTATTTACCGAGCTCTGGTGTACGAGGAGAGCAAATAAAGTATTTACCAAGCTCTGGTGTACGAGCAGAGCGAAAATAGTATTTACCAAGCTCTGGTGTACGAGAAGAGCGAAATAGTATTTACCAAGCTCTGGTGTACGAGGAGAGTGAAAATAGTATTTACCAAGCTCTGGTGTACGAGGAGAGTGAAAATAGTATTTACCAAGCTCTGGTGTACGAGGAGAGTGAAAATAGTATTTACCAAGCTCTGGTGTACGAGGAGAGTGAAAATAGTATTTACCAAGCTCTGGTGTATGAGGAGAGCGAAAATAGTATTTACCAAGCTCTGGTGTACGAGGAGAGTGAAAATAGTATTTACCAAGCTCTGGTGTACGAGGAGAGTGAAAATAGTATTTACACAGCTGTAATGTACGAGCAGAGCGAATATAGTATTTACCGAGCTCTGGTGTACGAGGAGAGCAAATAAAGTATTTACCAAGCTCTGGTGTACGAGGAGAGCGAAAATAGTATTTACCAAGCTCTGGTGTACGAGGAGAGTGAAAATAGTATTTACCAAGCTCTGGTGTACGAGGAGAGTGAAAATAGTATTTACCAAGCTCTGGTGTACGAGGAGAGTGAAAATAGTATTTACCAAGCTCTGGTGTATAAGGAGAGCGAAAATAGTATTAACCAAGCTCTGGTGTACGAGGAGAGTGAAAATAGTATTTACCAAGCTCTGGTGTACGAGGAGAGTGAAAATAGTATTTACAGAGCTGTAATGTACGAGCAGAGCGAAAATAGTATTTACCAAGCTCTGGTGTACGAGGAGAGTGAAAATAGTATTTACCAAGCTCTAGTTAACGAGAAGAGTGAAAATAGTATTTACAGAGCTCTAGTGTACGAGGAGAGCCGATATAATATTAACGAAGCTCTGGTGTCCGAGAAAAGCGAAAATAGTATTTAAACAGCTGTAATGGTAATTTATAGGAGATCCTCTTTATACTTGATCGAAACGCTACTTGCAAGTCCATCATAAATTGATTACCTACTTTGCCTTTATTGATAAATATGGTAGCTTAAATGATTTTGTCAATTGCTTGATTTTTGTGAATTTTGTTTTGTTGCAATAATGATTTTTTAATTGATTGATAGATTACTGGGCGAATGACATCGCTCTGGTACGACTTGAAGAACCCGTCCCATCCGGCCCACATTTTTCCCGCATATCAAGTATTAACCTTCCAAATTATGCCAATTTCTCATTCCCGGCTGTTGGAACCCACTGTACTATGAAAGGATGGGGATGTACTTCTGGCGGTAGGTTAATTCACCGTTACATCTTAATCCATTTTATTTATTATTTCTTCATTTATTTTATTATTATTTTCATTTTTAAAAACTTTTTTCAGTTCTTGGCCTAGTGTCATTTGTTTGCAATTTTTAACTCTATTTCCGCAAAAGAGTCACCCTCATTATCAACGTCATCACCATCATCTCAGCAATATCGGATTGTCAAGTTTGCTGGTTTTTACTTTTGTAATCAGTCACCCGAACTACACTCTGCATCACTATGGTTAATACTCTTCTCTGGTGACATTGAGTTATTTCTTGAGTCTACATTAGTATATACGTTTCATATCGAAAACAGGTTTCTATCAAATCACAATAGAGGCTTTCTGTGCCATTTTGAATAATATTGCGCCACCTTTCAGTACATATCTATATGAAGATGTGGTATACACATTTTGACAGCGTCAAAGTACACGCACATGAATATTTCCCTCCAATTCAGATTAAAATTGTCCCTGGTTTAGTATATATTTGGCATTCTTTTAATACATTAAGTAGGAATTTACATATAGCCTTTAGCTCTTCAATCAATGAGTGACTGTTAAATTGGAACAGCACAGAATAGCAGTGTTTATTTACATGACTGGTTTCCACATGTTAGTCAGGAAAACATTGCAAAGGTCAAACAACTTTAAAATATCTTGAGACAAACCGGTAAAGCTGTTTTATGTATAATAGTGAACTATTAAATTATTTCACACAATTGTTCCTACTGAATAAGTGTATTCCTAGGTTAATGTGCCATTGGATACCTCTACATAGACATATTTTATGCATACATTACGACAGCATTGTTACTACTGAGTATCGAGTTTCCTCAGTCTTCTAAAAAGTTTCAAAATTTAGGCACTTAACGTAACTGACAAATTTTAGAAGGACGAAACAGCAGTATGAAACAATTTGATTCCATGTGTAGCTCTCCTGTATCTAACTCTATGTATGTATTGAACGTTGCTGTCTATAATTCAATCATCGAGATCGTTGTAGTTTTCGCTCAGAAAAAGACTTTTGTCGATTGTTATCTTAATTGCTAAAAGGATATCCATACAAAGGCATCCAGCATTCTTTAACAACTTACCTTTTAATCATTTCTTTGAAAGGGGGACTAGTGTCTAACCACGCCCACTCCGTTGTTCTCCCGGTCTTTGATTCTGCATCCTGCTCTATCTTGCGGCGGGCTTCCAACAACCACAACCGTATTTGCGCTGGTTTCGACAACTCTAACAGGGGGATCTGTCCGGTAAGTGCCCCCCGTAAGAGGAGGTAAACCTACATTACTAGCATTTCTAACATGACAAAACCTTTTGCCAACATTTCAACATGAATCTTATTTTTTTTCAAAAATATGATTTTCTTTCGGCAGCTAACAAACACAGGGAGACACAGGTTAATGAAGGTAAAAGGAAAGCTTTATTGAGGTCACAGTGTTTTCTTTGGAGAATACTTTACTGGTAGAATATGAAGTTAGATGTGTTTGATTTTCGTCGATAAGCCTGGCGATTTTGTTTTTGTTGACTGTCCTTATTTGAAATTGACCAAGACTTGAAAGGCAATGAAACAGACGTTTACTATTAGGAAAAAGTAGTTTTCATGTTAATCTTATTCAACTGATCTTGGATTTGAAGATGAGTTCTGTGAGGAATATAATATGTAATAATAATAACGTTCAACTAGAAAAGAAAGGTATGTACATGCAAGACGGTTTCATTAGATGCATGTATAGATTATTCCCCTTTATTTATCCTCTTTTGGCCTTTACCTGGGATAACCTATCAAAGTATTGAGGACTTATTTACAGTGGTCTCCCTATTATCATCTTGCTCTAAATGTATATAGTTTTTTCTGTCCCGTTTGACGAATCGTAAGAGGTGACTTACCTACGAACGTCTCGAACTAATTACATAAAAAAAACTGTCTGTAATGGGCCCACATGTTGAGCGTTCGTACCAGTGGAGGTGATAATGACTTCTGTCCTCAGGCTGTGCTCTTTGTTATCGCTCCCCGTCGATGTAAGTATAATAGCGATGTCGAGGTTATGTGCTTGCGACACGGCATTTTAATGAAATAAGACATCGGAATGTGATGAAGTTACCTTTAACTGGCTTATATAAATTTGACCTAATCTACAATTTTCGAATTGCGTTATCATGAATGGCTACGCACATTCATTCAGTTTGCAAAAAGGGTTTTCTTTCACACCAGCATGAAACGAAAAATATATTGTTTTAACCGCGTTTAGCATTACCGTAAGTCCTTATTAAATATACAATTATATATTTTCAGGGAGATAGTGGTGGACCACTTTCTTGTTTGAATGAGAGAGGGGAGTGGTTACAAGTTGGTGTAGCCTCTTTCGCAAGCGTGCATCGTCCTGGGGATTACCCAGGTGTCTTCACGCGTGTCTCCTCCTACGTCAACTGGATACACAGTGTCATTTACAGATAAACCGTAATGTCTTTCGTGACAGCACAGACTTACAAAAGAATTTGCTGATGTCTTGACATTTTTATTCGGGAACATTTTATGTATATATACTGAGATAGAATAATAAATGTTGTTAATGGTTATGGATATGCCCATTTGAAGCTTCATCTTCTTTCCGTAGTATTGCATATCACTTGAATCGTCATTTCTTAAAGTTTCATATTAATAGCTTTACGTTATATGCTTCAAAACGTCAAATAAATAAAATCAAAGTTTTTTTTTTAAATTTAAATGAGCTGTAAGATTGGATTTGATAATTTTCTATTTCTTGTATGATTGTAGCTGAAATTTGCCCTTTTTATTTAACTACTAACAACGTGATATCTCATTTTCAAATAGTTTTATTGACAAAGATACAAATAAAAACGATAAAGGTATTGCATGTATGACAGATTTATACATTATATACGTTATATATGGCATATATGGCAATTTAAAAAAATGCACGCAAAGTCTATTAAAATGTGGGATTATGATTTCTTCAATATTTCTAAAACTCAAACTTTTCAAATTCAATACAATACAAATCATCCTCACAGCGACAGATACCGGCCCATTTCACTAGCCACAATGACATCTATAGATGGAGTTTAGAAATTCGATTCCTTGAAAGAAGTAATCTTATGTGGAATAAGTCATCTAATAACATGTACATACATGTAGATACCTCAAACATTATCTGATATAGAAGGCACTGCTTTCAGATTACTGGTAGTAAAGATGATAAAGACAAAAGAAAAACATTACATATATACACACTTGTATATACATAATATATAACGTAATGTTTAACGTAAGGACACCTGTTGACATAATTAACATGTGGAACTTTGAGTAAGTAAAATATTCATATAAAAATAAATCCATATATTATACATAAATACATATTTGCAAGGTAGTGTAAATATATGGTTTTGAACTGTACAGAAGCGTATATTGTGCAAATAACGTCCGAATCAAAAACGAAATTAACGGAAGAGGAAATCATGAAAATTGTGTCTGGTTGACAACATTTTCGTCGAGTTTGGTGATAAAGTCTTCCAACAGATTTTTTTACATGTCTATGGGAATTAAATAATTCCAAAGCAGATCACAAAGACCATGCCAAGTTGTTTAATTTCACTATGAGATATATTGGCGACTTCTTTTCATGAAACAGCAAGAAATTGATTGACAGCGTCCATCTTATATGCCTACCAGAAATGGAAATCAAGGACTCTTCTGCATCAGCTGCTTATATCGACCTTTTCCTATAACGAAATCAACACGACCAGCTTTCCACTAAGCTGTACAATAGGCGTGATTATTTTAATTTCCCTTTGTGAAATTCCCATTTCTGAACAGCAACAAACCTGCATCCCAAGCCCATGTCGCATAATCAAGGGCCTATTCATATTATCACGATGTTTGTGCAAGAAGTCATCAACAAACGGACAAACTCGTTACACAAGGTTGCAAGTGATGCAGGCTGATGAATATTATGGGGAAGTTTTACTGTCGTCATAGTGATTTCATTGAGAAATATTCTTTTTCATTTTGCTACATGAAGCTGGACGTGTTTGATGCTAGTTGTATGTCTATTGGTTCTGTTGTTGTATACCTTGTTTTCATCTGAAAACGTGATATAACTGACTTGGATTTACCGAGCTTTACATGGCCGGTGTCATCAATGGGGCAAAAGACGCTTAATCCTTAGGAACACCTGGTCTTTTTCTCATTGACCTTTTTTTCTTTTTTTCATAGTTTCATTGTTTCTTTGAGTTTGGATTATGATTATGTTGGCATATTGGTATTTTCTTATTCTAATTGTTGATATTGTTATTATTAGCCCTTTTAAGCTAAGAATAGTATTTATAACGGCAAGATGAATTTTTCTTTTTTTTTCAGTTTTAACAATCATTAATGCCAGCATGGCTGTGAGTTCTATTTAGCAATATTTAGGTTTTTCTTTGTTTTTCTTAACAGTGTTCTGTGGTGACTGTTGGATTAGTTGTATATATATTGGTGTTTCAGGGGTTGATTGGAAGCATGCAATAGAGGGGACTTTATAGATGATATAGGTGAGGATGTAGGTGTAATGTCTGTATTGTTATCTGTATCATGCTCCTCTAAGCGAGGTATACGGCTGGCAGTTGGAGTTGACGGGATAGGCGTTGGGGTTGTGTTAGTGTTTTATGAGGAATAAGTGTTTCTGTGTCCCTGTCTACTGTCACATCTAATCCTATACCTAGTTATGATTTTTAATGTGTTGTTAAATTTGTCATAGAGTTTTGTGGGATTTTATTTGCAAGGACCATGAATAGTGAACCCAGGATGTTGGTGAATTTTAGTTTTTTTTAGTTTTGTTACAGGTGAGTTGCCTATGTGTGTTGGGGCTTGTTTAATGTGGATTTGTTTTGCGCCCGACTGGAGACTGAAGGCCGTGTCAAATGATTACTGTGTCTGCGTATGATTTGGCTTTGTTGTTTTGTTTCTGATGTGTTGTGTTGTTGGTTTTGTTTTAGTTTGTTTTAATACGTATGGTGTAACTTTGATAAATCTGGTCTCATCTGAAATGTGGGGTGGAGGTGTCATTATGTTGAAGAGGAGGATGATTAACGTTGTAAATATGCCCTGTTTGTTTATAATACGTGTCGTTTTCAGAAGTGTTTTGCTAAGGATTCTGTTTGTATTGATGCTATTGACCCTGCTGGTCTTGTTTAATTGAGGTCGAACATGTGTATAAATGTGTAATCTGTTGGGGTTGAAGGGTTTTTGTAGATTTGTATCCCTTCCCCCAATGATCTTTGCCTTAAGGGTTCCTTCTATCTGCATGTTGTTGTAGTTCCCCTACAGCTTGTTTCTGATCGAGAAATTGATATGGGTGTATGTATATGTATTGTATATGTTTGTCTGTAACTAGCAGGCAGAGAATGAAGACCATTTTCTCCTGGATTCCTGAGAAAAAATAGGAATTTTGGAACAGAAAGGCAAGGAATAATTCAAAACATGAACGACCATTTCGGAAAGGGCAATAATGCTTTTGATATTGCTATAGATCATATATATATACATTAACATTTGTGTTCCATCTCTGATATCTAAATTGAGATGTGTTGATCTCAGTCCCAGTGTGAAAATGGATTAATTAAAAATGTAATCATTGACTATGATTAATTTTAGGAATTTTAGTGTATCACGATTCAAACAATTATGGCTGGATTTTGATAGCTTATATGCAATATGCGACACTTTAACACACTAGTATTATCATTATTATCATATCACAACGAAGATCGTTCTTGTAATCTCCCTCCCTCCCCCCCTCTCTCTCTCTCAAAATTAATTTGAATTATAATGGCATATTAAGAAACGATAAGATGATTTGTGTAAAACTAAAATAAGAATTGTAGAAATTTAGTTAATCATATTCAAAGTTCATTAGACATGTAGATATACAAACATCTTTGACAAGAACAATTATGGGTAATCAATACCAAATTTGTAAACCGTAAATATATCCAATTAAATGTGTTAACGCCTGCAGCTGCACACATATACATACAAACAAATACATTGTATCTCAATATACATGTGTACATGACATTCAAGCTACATTTATTTTTGTTCCTGGCTCATACACATTGGAAATTCTAAGCGCTTGGACACGTTGACATTGGGTCACTAGTGAGAATTAACCTTGTTTGAATTTCACTTTGAGTAAGGTTTGCATTCTTCGATTTTCGAAACTTCGATGCCATGAAATAGTTACTTTCAGTATTCAATCGTCGTGACTATAAACAAGACCTACGGGGAATTGCAGAATATTCGATTTTTGATAATGACACTATACGTTTATGATTCTAAATTATGGTATACCCTTAGTTAATGACCTCCCTGTACCCTAATCAGAATTGGAATTATCAACATCTTTATACCACGCGGTACTGCTGATAATTCCACTCACAACATGTATTAACTTGAGAATAACTGCAATCGAGGAAAGTGTGAATGATATTTCCGGTATTTTCTCGCATTGTATATCTTAAAATTCCAAACAGGACTTAACAGAAACTTAACAGAAGATCGGTGGGGTGCTGAAGTCGCGAACATTTGTATAAATACGTTGTACGTGTACAGCAAGGAACATCGTTACCGTGTGACAGTTACCGTTACTGTTAAAAGTTAATCCCTGTCGCCCGTCATCACGGCGATGTCACGGCAGACTGACGTACGTGTATCTGAACCGTACACTGTAACTTTATCCCTGTCGCCCGTCTGTCTCGCGATGTCGCGGCGGTTGGATCTACCAATTTATTTCACGAAACTGCCGCGGCTACGGACGACAGGTTAGGAACATTTGAGAAGCAAATCACCTCAACTGTACTGTATCAGAGTCTGTGACTACAGATGAATGATGAATTAAAGGTTAGGCATATAATGTAATATCGTTATCATTTAGTTCCATTACTAAAATGTTATTTGTGTTCTCATCTATTGAGTTATTTTGTAAAATAAATCAAGACTACGCAGATGCCATGGATTTACTTCTATATCATTAGATATTAGCAGTAATATATGAATATTAAATGAACATTACATGAAAAATAAATGAAATAAATTAATTACAACTATGTACTTCATATTTTCGTTGTGTGTCATAATAGTATATACAAATACAGATGTATAAACTATTATCAAATATATTTGCTACAATTTCAAGTTGCTAAACACACAGTTGACACTTACAAATATACAAAAAGAATAGTGTGGTTTCACTGGGATAAAACTATTTAAAAATGAAGTTCTATCACAGCATAGAAAAGAATAGAGAGCCTGGTCGTTTTTCATTAGTGAAACGTAAATATATAATTATGTGATCTGAATAAAATCTTATTTTATAACAATAAAATGTCGACTTACCGATGAATATTTATGAAGATTTAATCAGTAAGCAGAAAATTTGCATAGGCCTTCGAAGA